ACTCTTGCTTACATGCTTTGAGTGAACAACATATAACACATAAACTTAGTCCAATTCACACATTAAAGTAATGAGTGAATGGCTCACAAACTAACACAAACACACGAATGCAAAAAGCTTTAATCCTTACGCAATGCACTATATTAAACCTAGTTTTTCTGAGATTTAAAATGGGATTGTGAATCCTTTAAATAGTAACTCTTGGACGGGCTTGGGCTTTGGCAAAAACAACATCTGATCTTGAAGAAATCAATTTAAATAATTAGCATTAATGAGTAATACCAAAATAGAGTTGATTTGATCTAATCAGTTCCAATCAAATCACTCATCAGATCTTCAAGATTTCCTGCAGAAAATAACCTCACATGATTCCATAAATCCTCCACGAAATATGCATCAAAAATACTTTTGAATAAAGACTATATCCACACAGATTTAAATCATAAAATAAAAGATCATAATAGCACAAAGAGTTGCACAAAAGAAACAGACAAACAGACACATTCTCGCAGAATGTCAGGACATCATGCTTGACATCATTAACTAAATCCTGCAACAACAATCATAGCTACCTGCAGACAGTTAAGAACATATGTCAAGACATCCTGTAGGACATCTTGTGATCTCACCAAGTTTTACCAAAATTCCTACCAATCAAGAACTAACAAACTCCCCTTTGGCAAATTTTGGCTAAAACAATCAACAGATCACAAGAGCTCCAAAATCAGAGAGCACAACAAAAAAAACTTCAAAGCAGGAGTAGACACAAACTCCCCTTCAGCACAATAACCAACAACACTTCAAGACATATAACAGCCTAAACAACCAGCAACCTGTAATCACAAACTCCCCCTCAACATAAACATCATCAACATCCAACAGGATCAAACAGAATAGAACAACAGCAGCTTCAGCTTCACTTCTCCCCCTTTTTAGCCATAAATTAGGAACACAAACTAAGGGAAACATAGTATCATAGATCAAATAAACAGAGCCAAGTAAAGTCAAGGGTACAAAAATGACCCAATTAGAGTACAATCCAACAACACTTTAAGTGCACAAACAAACAAATTCTGCAGCAGCAGACACAATAAAAAAAACAAGGAACACAACAGTCAAGCAACACATCAGTCAAACATGACTAATCTTCTTCTTCAGATCAAATACTCTCATCATCACCAGCATTTGTAGACACAAAATTATTATCATCCGTCTTCTCCCCTGAACCAGAAACTTCCTCATCTTTTTCTTCTTGATCATTAGCATCATTCATTGTATTGTCTTCATTTTGTTCCATACATTTAATCAAAGCTTCCAACTTAATCTTCCTTGATGTGGCCATATTAATCACTTCACCTAACTCCCTGCAAGTCTCCTTCAAGTTAGATATAACCCCAGCCCTTGAAGTGGATGCCTTCTCAGGTGATGTTAAGATAATGTATGGGACATGTCTTCCAGCAAATAACTTATAGTGAAGAGACAAAATTGAATCTCTTTTGCATGCCACATCATTGGTAGTGAGAATTCCAGGGTATTAGTTCAAGATTATGCCACAGATCAGAGAGGGAAATGCAATCGGAAGCTTAATTGCATTTGTGGTGGCATGTTTCACAACTTGATCAAATATGTACCTACCATAGTTAAACTTCAGATTGGTCCCAACAACAATGGTTGAGGTATGATTTATTGGAACCCAATTTGCAGCACCAATCCTGTGAAGGATGGCATACTTAACACTAAGTATCCCAGCATAAAGCTTACCTTTATAGGGCCAAACATTGATTTGATTTGCAGTTATTACCCTGCACACCTAATTGTCAGTAGCTTTCATTGAATCATCACTTTCCTCATTCCTACCCAAGAATTGGTTGATCACATCTGAAGAAAATTCAACACACCTTCCTCTTACAAAAACTTTCATAAAATCATTGCTCTTCCTATCAGTAATGGTTGTAGGGATATTCACAATGAATTCCTTCAGAAGCATGTCATAACATTTAGAGAACCCAACTACGATTTTGGTCAGCCCAGCATCAGAAATCAGTTGCATGACCTCCTTAATTTCAAGCACATCTTTACCCAATTCTCTTTCCAAGGCAATCCTCCTTTGATACACAAATTTCCATTTGGACACGTTGTCAATAGAGTGGAATGACACATTATCCAAAGGGGCAGCAGGAACAATACTTGTGGTTTTCTTGACAACAGATCTCTTAGCAGGAGTGATGTCCTGAACATCATCCTCAACATCATCATCAGAATCAGTCTCCAACCTAACCTTTCTCTTCTTGGAAGCAGGAGTAACTTTACTCCAAGCTTTTGGAGGACCAACAACAGTCTTCTTCCTCCGACTCTTAGAAGGGGATTGCTCAATCACAGCTTTTCCTTTTCTAGACTTCAATCTTTTTGCAATACCAGGAGCGACATTCTTGATTAACTCATCATCAGAAGGTACATCCTCAATGTCCACCATGTTTTCAGCAATGTTTACCTTTTCTTTGTCTTGAACAGACCTATTTGTTGTGTCTTCCATACCAAGGGTACCATCATTCTTATGTGCAACATCATCTTCTCTTACTTCCTTGAGCACAGAACTAGAAAGCTTGTGCAGATTTTCTGTATTAGGGTTCTTATCAGAAGAAGAGTTATTAGCATCTTTACCTTCTTCACCTAGGTCAGCAATAAAACTTGGAGTAGCATCCATGCGAGATAGAGGAGTGGAAATCTCAGGTACATTATGCCCACCATACAGAACCTTAGTCACTAGTTCCCTAATGGTTCTATCAACATATGCACTACCTTCTTTGTTCTTCATTTTAGTAGTATAATTACATTACAAGAAAACTGGTAATTTGCAACGGTTAATTTTGACAGATTACGACGGTTATAACCATCCCAATTTGTAAGTTACGACGGTTCCAATCCCGTCGCAGAAACGTGCATCGCGAGGCCGTATTGCGACGGTTGTGAAAACTGTCGTACAAACCGTCATTATTTTCACGACGGGTAGCTAACTATCGTAATCTCCATATTGTGACTGTTTCCAACCGTCTTAACTTGCTTAATGATTTTTGTTTTCATTGTTGATTGCGAAAGTATATTGTGGCGGTTTAAACCGCCGCAAGTTGCAAATATTTTTTTTAAAAATCTATAGTATATTGTGGCGGTTTGAACCACCGCAACTTGCAAATATATATTTTTTAAAATCTCTGGTATATTGTGTCGGTTTAAACCACCGTAAGTTGCAAACATTTTTAAAAAAAAAATCTGCCCTCAATTTATACCTCGCTGGCCCTATCGCGGTTAAAACCAAGATGTTAATCACTAACCAGTGTGACAAACTATCAAACACTTGAAAAGCAGAAAAACTCTTAATTTGCACAATCAACACTACAGTACAAATACAATAGTTGTTGACGCATCGATAGCAACAAAAAATTTGAACTTGAAATTAAAAAGTTACATTGTTTTACTATGCTAAACACAACAAAATCAACACAAATATCATCATCAAGATTCAAGCCAAACACTACCACCACACCAGCCAATTCCTGTACTTTTATGAACATAAAAAATAAATAATCCATTACAGACAAAAAGCGAGGTAGCGAAGAAAGTCTGGCAATTGACTGCATAATTCATTTGCACACACCGAATACATCAGTTAGATAAATAGAAATTGCAATGCAACATGGTGAAGCCATAGAGGCATATACCTAGAGTCGATGACTTCCTGTAATTTATATAGAGACTTAGATTCAAGAATCTGAAAATTAGGGAAATGAGTGTATGAATCAGCAGCGTTGTAGGAAACAAGCATGTTTAAGATTACTAGTTGATAGTTATATCCTTCACCTGTATCTTTGCAGTAGTCTATAGGCAGCTATTCTCCTTTGATAAAATGAGTAAAAACATTTCTTCGCATGGTTTAATTCTCTTAATCAAGTAACAAAATTGGTAAGCAAATTATAAAACAAAAATAATATATATATATATATATATATATATATATATATATATATATATATATATATATATATATATATATATATATATATATATATATATATATATATATATATATATATATATATATATATATATATATATATATATATATATATATATATATATATATATATATATATATATATATATATATATATATATATATATATATATATATATATATATATATATATATATATATATATATATATATATATATATATATATATATATATATGAACTTAGGGGTGATGCTTACAGGCCACATAGAATTACAGTAATCATAGTTGTTATACTTTCCCCACCATGAGGTTTTCCATGTATAACCAAGAACCTACCACCAACTGATAGTTAAAACACATAAACATATTGCAAGCACATATGTAAATCAAAGGCAAGGATCTTTCACAAGACTTCTTATTATACCATATCTAAGAGTTGCTTGCACTGACGTTGCATATGAATATTTATAGCCGATGTTAGATTTGTAAATGTTGACAAGATCCATATGTAGATATAGTTCAATAACCTAAAGATAATATATTTGCCAGAACCTTCAAAACTTATGTTGATCAAATATTTCAATAGCAGAACAATTATATTCTTGATAACAAGGTTCCCAAGTTCATATAAAAGCAAAGATGCATGTTAAACAAAAAGCAAAGAATCAATATACCAGTGAATACCTTTAACCTAGTAAACATTTAACTGAAATCACCATCAAACAAGTTTATCTGCAATCAAACAATATCACTCATCATATGATATTCTCCCCCATTTAGTCATTTTTTTAAAAATGAAATTAGAACTAAGGTACTACAGTGAAAAATAGGTCACACAGATGGAAGTACCAATAAAAAACAAGGACGATTTAATAAAATGAATAACTAAAGTAAATGGATTGAAAATTTTGTGTTAATCTATTGAATGGTTAAAGCAGGTTTACCTTGCGATTAAACTCTTAAATCTACAAAAAAACAAAATTGTGAAAGATGGGAGCAAATTTACCTCAAAAAGAAGAATTCAGAATTATTACTACAGCTCATTACCGTGGAGCCATGGGTATCTTGCTGGTTTATGATGTTACTGATGAAGCATCTTTCAATAATATTAGGAATTGGATTTGCGATATTGAACAACCTGCTTCTGACAATGTAAACAAGATACTTGTGGGAAACAAGGCTAATATGGATGAAAGTAAAAGGGATGTACCTACCTCCACAGGTCAAGCTCTTGCTGATGAGTATGGTATCAAGTTATTTGAAACTAGTGCAAAAACAAACACGAATGTGAAGGAAATTTTCTTTTCAATAGAAAGAGACATCAAGAAAAGGCTTGCAGACACAGATTCTAGATCCGAGCCTCAAGCTATCAAGATTAACCAACAAGATCCGGCAGCGAATGGTGGTCAAGCTGCAACAAAATCAGCTTGTTGCGGCTAGTGAAAAGAATCAATATCTGCAGTTGTCGCGGTGAAAATCGGATACCAAACTATTGATTAGTTTGAATCGTTAATTCATTTTTTTCAACCGAACTTTGATTTGTCCAAAGGAAGGGATACAGATCGAAATTCCCACGATGCAATGCAAATGCAAGGTTAGATTGTTTAGGTTCGGGGGTTGGTTAAACTTAGGGAAGGTACTAGCATCCTAAGTTTCTGTAGTATCCTACAGGAACCTCTTGTTTTATGTTTGTTTACTGTTATGTGTTTATCTGCTTAAGGGATTAGAGACCTAGGGGTTTATATCTAAGTATACTCGATAAGATGTCGCATCTTATGCCTACATATCCTTAAGGGAATGAAATCAGAGTATTTTGTAGTTCACCCTAAAGGGTTAGAGGAGCTCTTTGACTGTGGTCAAAGTTCCTACGGGTTTAGGGTAGTTGTTTTGATTGGGTTTAGGAGAAGAGACGAGTCTTCATGTTAAGGGAGATGTAACCACCACAAATATAAGAGGGGTTGTAGGAAATGGACTTTGCATCGTCTTAAGAAAAGGTCTTAAATACTCGGATGGTCGCCAAGTATGCCTTTATCACTCTTAAGGCAAAGTCCCTACATGTTTGATTGTATTGTTGTGGGGGTGGAGATTATATCTCACTTAAGATGATTAACATCTATTCTCTAAATGTGTTTAAAAAGCTGTATTGTGTTGATTGTTTTGTTTCTATGTTGTAAAGATAAAGACAAGGTCCTTCCTATGGGGTAGGATCTATCCTAAACGATCAACTTGAATGGAATCAAGGATCGAAGGGGAATATGATGCATATGATGTGCAACTACACACAACGTTGAATTATGTGTAGGTTTTTCCTTTGGACGGATGTAATGCGATTGCAACAAGGTATAATGACTTGCGGTAAAGATAAATTGCGGAAAGGTAAATTGCAGAAATGAAAAGCCATACACGTATGCATGAAAGCGCTAAGTGAGTGTGTGCATTGTGAATAAGATAAAACAGATAAAGATAAATATAAATACGCATGAAAGCGCTAAGATGTGTGTGAGAGTGAAAGGTGTCGTGAAGTGCACGATTGATTAAATTGTGTTTTTACGTTGTTGTTTGATTTTAATCGTCTAACTTGTTTTTAGACGGGGTTGAATTATTTTGAGAAAAGTTATTTGATTGGAGTTGATTTAATTTATGAGAAAATTATTGTTGTTGATTGAATTAGCTAGTGAGATTTGATTTTATGAAAAAAAGTTGTTTTGTTAACAAGAGGTTTGGAATTGATTAGATTGGAAGAAAAAGATATTAAATAAATTGTTTTTTTATTATAAAAAGTTAATTATTATTAGGCAAAATTCTTTTAACCTAAGAAAAGAGATTTTATTATTTTTTATTATTATTATTTTTTTTATTATTATTTTTTTTTTAAAATTAAATGAGTTTTAAAAAGGGATTTTGATTAATATATAAAAAAAAGATAAATCAATTGGAATATTTTTCTCAATAAAATACAGGTTATTAGAGTAATAAGTCATTTTTCTTTTAAAAGAGAGTTTGCTGAATAATCGTGATTAATTAAAAACTAATTAATTAAAAGGTTTATTTAATAAAGGTTAATAGTTAATTTTTTAAAAAAAAGTGGGTTAAGGTGTTAATGGTTAATGTGTGTGGTATTGTGGGATTAGTGATTAGCTAAAACATTACATCAGATAAAATAAAAACAAAAAGATGGGAAACCCTAAATCCCAAATTGGCCCAATTTCTGCGCCGTCTCCCTCTCGCTCCGACCTTCGTTCGCATCTTCTTTCTCCTTTCATTTTTAATCCAATTCTAAAACCGAGGGTTAAGGTAGTGATGATTCGCGGCTTCTCCGGCAACGGGCGCGATGACTTTCGGCAAGGGTTTAGGAGATAGCGTATAGGGCTTTGCGGAGGTTTCCGGCGGAGTAACGGTGACGGCGAAAGAGAAGACAAGTTGTTCCAAATCCTTTGCCTCTTTAGTGATCTCAGGGTTTATGATTTTGGGGTTATTGTTTTTTTTTCTCTCCGTCCATCTGTATGTTTTTCGTCCTCTTTATATAGACTCCACTTTATGATTTCTTGATTGAATTTCCTTAATCACAATTGAATGCTGATTGGGGATTTTCCATATATGTTCAGGTACGATTAGGGAATAGTTTCCTTTTCTGTGAGATTACAATAATAAGCTGTTTTAAACGATATTTGTATCTTGATTTGCAATTCAATCCAATAGCATCTTCTATGATTCCGTGAATATTCTCTAATTTTGCTAATTTGATTTTGCATTCTAGCAGGTGTGGATAGCAACAATCTATTTGGGCTGGATGGTGAATTAGAAACCCAGAGGGAAGGTTTCGGGCTGGATGCGCGTGTGAACCTCCATGGAAAGTTGTAGAGTGGCGATCTGGCAGGTACACGTGGCGGTGGAGAAAGTATCGGTGATGAGGAGTATTCTCAAAACCTTGAAGTGATGAGCCGTTTGAGAAGCCGCAAGCAAAGTGGACCAATATTTTGGAGTTTTCTGAACTGTTTTGGACAGAGTTATAACCTTGTTCCAACACGTTTGGTGCCTCCTGAAATGCAGATAATGTAAAGCCAACTTTGGGTGGGTGGATTTATGGGCAGCGCTTGGTCTTGGTCAACTTCAGAACAACTTTCTGGTGCGAGTTCCTTTTGTCACTTAATGGCAGTTTTGCCGGTAAATTTTAACCTGCTGTCATGGCTATCCTGAGTCTTTTGTTGTATTCTAATTTGATTGATTTCCAAACACTCACATCGTAATCTAATCTTTTTCACTTGCATCTTCTTCCATAGAATACTTTCAAGCGCCAGTTTTGATGACGACTTCAAGGCTTGTTAGTTGGGCTTTAAATCAAGAAGAGGGGTTACTTGGCCATGACTTCTGCTAGGTGGTGATTGTGGAGCCAAATGCGGCATCGCCATTTCCTGATACTTTTGGTACGGTAGTTCCTGATACTTGTCTTTGAACACTGCTGTTAATTTTGACAGGTTGTGATGTTGTTTGGTTTGGTTCAACGTTGATGATTTAAGCTTTGCTCAGTTATGGGGAAAATGAATCTCTGAAGCTGTTTAATCATGTGCAGGATCTCTAGATGGTGGCTGCCGCTTTATCTTCTTCAATAGAACGTCAATGTTGCTACCCTGTTTTTCTCAAAAATTGGCAGCAATGTTGTGCGGAAAAAGGAGTGGCCTCATTTTACCTCCAGTAGTCGATTATACACAGTTCCGTTGTTGATGTAAACTTTTATTATTTTGAGCCTTACTTGACTGCTGTGACAAAGATGTAACTAGTATTCTGAAATTTCAGGACCTCATTTTACGGTATCCGTTTACCGCAAGGCACCTCAAGTTATCACTACTGAAGCAAGGAAAAAGGAGACCACTCGTCGGTGACAGTGCCCTTGAAGGTAAAGCTCTGATGTCCTATCCATTACTGTGTTGATTTGGAACGCGTCGTAACTTTTGACCTTTCGATGCTGCACGTGAATCACCGGAAATTAAACCAACGTTCTGTTTATATGTGTTATTTGATTTCTTGTATCAGTATGAAATTACTGCTTAGTGTTTCATGTGTTTTGGAAATCGTAACTTCCTTGATCCATTTTCTTGGCAACGATTGAATGTGTATGTGGTTTGACTTTGTAGTAACAATTGCTAAATTATTGATAAATTGCAGGTGGCCTCATAACAGTATGCGGGAAACATGGATCAGAAGGCTTCTTGGGAGCAAAATGAATACATCATCGCCGATACTGATAAAAAGTAGTGATGGGTTCGTTCATCCACCGATACTCTTCGAGAGGGTGGCCGAGAGTGACAACCGTACATAATAGCATCGCAAACCAGCTCGTGGACATCACGGAGGCGAACGAGGGACATTAAGGTGGAGATGCGGGTGTAACGTGAATCTTGGAGTCTTGTAACTTTAATTATTTATCTTAAACTTGTAACTTTGAATGATTCTGAATAGCATGAAATCAACTTTTTGACTTTGGAAATGAGAGGACGATATTGTCTTGATTTGTAGTCTTGAAGGAGATTTTGTGAAACCAATATGAAACCGATGAAAGGAAAATGATATCGCCTCCATTTGAATTTTACTTTTGGCTTATTCGGTAGGACTCTTGAGGATCACCTGTAGCACTTAGGAACACAATCTCGACCTCATAATTTGGCCTGAAGAGCTAATTCAAAACCAATAGACCGCCAAAACCCAACAACCCTCACGCCATTAATGAGAAAGCCACTTTAAGAGAATGGACCTGGAAAAATTCTTAAAAAAAATCTTGAGCAGTAAGAAACCAACTTCTGAACTTTAAGGAGACATAGCCCAAAGTCCGCTTGCAATGGTGCCTGAGAACTATAATATAGAGGCCCCAAAAGCTATCTTGAAATCAAATCTTGAAATGGGTCTGGAGGTACGTGACTGTGAGGAAGATTGGTATCCCTTCTTGCAATTATTGCACCTATGTAAACTAGTTAGTCGCAATAAACATACATATAAAAAGTAAGTTAGAAACAAGCAAGAAAACGAGGAGGCGGGGTCTTATGGTCAAAAATTAGGGTGTGACAGATGCCCCTATTTAAGTTACTTCTATCCGGAGATACGGAGATTGAAGTCTTCGTTTCGACGAGATAGGAGGGACTTAAATACAAACATTGCACGAATTTTTGGCCCTAAGATGCCACCGGATGCATATGATGTGGAATGCAAGACAGACGAGACCTGTGAGGAAATGATGTCACAGGGGAACAAATAGACATAACAAGACTCCGCGGGGGTGGGAAACCAACATCACTGGGGAATACTCGGAAGTAAAACAGTATCTCATACACCAAGGACATGGTGATGGGAAATAAACTTTTAGTCGAAGGATATGGTTATTATCATAATGTTGCGGTTGGTAATAATCCAGATGAATTGAGTCGATGGTTCATCCTTATTTTTCCTTT